TTTTATTTGTTAAAAGGGACATATAGTCCTTGCTTTTTAATATATGTTAATCCAAACTGACTCACCCTATACCTGATGTTGTTTTATCTGATATTTTATAATTTTTATCTCTTAGATTTTTTTAATACTCGATTTATTGCTTCTCTGTACGTACACACATCCATTTATCTTTAAAGCTGCAGACCAGCAGTGTTGGTTCTTGTTAACATCTTGAATTGCTCTGCCTGTGGGTCACCCCTTTACTCCCTGATTTCCAAATCATGTTGAGTCTTGAATGAGTATCAAAATAATTTGGTTTTCAAAGGAATATAAAGGGAAGTGGTCGTGGCATCAACCTGCCAGGGTTCAAGAGGCATTTGGACAGTGCTCTCAGGCACATGGTGGGATTTATTGGGCCTGTCCTGTGTGGGGCCAGGAGTTGGACTTGATGATCCTTGTGGGTCCCTTCCAACTCAGAATGTTCTATGGTTCCATGATTCTATGAGTTGATCTGGTTGAGAACTGAAAGAGTTGGTTAAAATGATTTTTAGTACTTGAGGTATTTATGTATTTGGGATAGCTCCCAAGGTACTGAAACTGTACCATTTCTTGTTATGAGCAGCATTTCAACTGAAAATTCCAGGCAGAGTAACTCAATCTTTAATAAATTTTTGAACAGTGCAAGTCAACCATTGGGGAAACAACTACATATGATGAGAAGGAAAGTGTCTGATGACACTGGTCACTGTCCTCCAGGCTGTTAAATGCAGCTCATATTTAATAAATGGGCTATCATAACGTATTTCTTGAATATTTTAATGCTCCTCTAGGAATATTTTGCATGGCTAGAGAATGCAGTGCAACTTAAATGGAGTGAAAAATCGAATAAGCGTGTAATGAGGGGGAAAAATTACATAGAAACTCAAAGACACACTAATTGGGTACAGCAATAGCAAAGGCTCCTTTTTTTTTTTGTTGTACTAAACTTAAGAACTATCAAATGTGACAGAAAGATACCAGACAAAAGGCTGACTACTTTAAAATGTCACTTTTTGAACAAATAGCTGTTAGATGTTCAGCCTGAGAATGGATTTTGGGGTTTTTTTTCATAATATTTATGGAATCCAAATTTACTTCAGGGAAGTGACTTGTGATGCTGCAGAGAAAAGGAGAAAATGTGAGCTTCAAAATAAGAATTGAAACGTGCTTGTTTTAATATCAAAATGGTAAGAAACAATTGAAAAAATATTACTGCATGTCTCACATAGCAGTTTGGAACCAGACTTGTTGAGCTCTAGTATTTAGGGAAGCCCAGGCTAATGGCTATTTCTGTATAGTAGCAGTTATATATTGAATTTAAATAAGAATGCCCATGTCAGTGTGCACTGGAGAAAGTGCCCTGCAAATTCAGATATCCTCATATATGGCTTGGAATGAAATATTGGAAAATCATAGAATGCCTTGTGTTGGAAGGAACCTTAAAAACCATCCAGTTCCAAACCCTTGCTGTGGGCAGGGTCACCTTCCACTAGCCCAGGTTGCTCCAAGTCCTGTCTGACCTGGCCTTGGACACTTCAGGGATGGGGCAGCCAGAGCTTCTCTGGGCAACCTGTACCAGGGCCTCACCACCCTCACAGGGAGGAATTTCTTTCCAATATCCCATCTAACCCTGCCCTCTGGCACTGGGAAGCCATTCTCCCTTGTCCTGTCCCTCCATCCCTTGTCCCCAGTCCCTCTCCAGCTCTCCTGGAGCCCCTTTAGGCCCTGCAAGGGGCTCTCAGCTCTCCCTGGAGCCGCCTTCTCTCCAGGTGAACCCCCTCAGCTCTCCCAGCCTGGCTCCAGAGCAGAGGGGCTCCATCCTTTTGATCAACTTTGTGGATCTCCTCTGGATTCATTCCCACATGTCCACAACTTTCTTGTGTCAGGGGCCCCAAAATATAGTTGTGGTTTGGTTTTTTTTCCCTTGTGCAGCTGAAGTGGGTTTTACACTGGAGTAGTGTCAGGCCAGTCATTTCCCATGTGAAGGCAACCAGGCTGCATCCCAGTGCTTCCCAGGTTTCTATGCAGTAGTGAGATACTTTGGCACTTCCTGCGCTCCTCGGTTCTCCTGTGAGAAAAATCAGACTGGTCATCTTTTGCATATTAGGTACATAATGACCAACACCACAATGTTGCATTTTACACTGTTACTAAAAGCTTCGCCAGACATATAGTTGAGGATGCTGAGCTGATCTTTCAAATGGGGAGTAAGCAGAGTAAATTTTCAGGGTCCTGATGATGTTAAGGGGTTAAACAAGGTTTTTCTTCCAGCTATTACTACGTTTCCCTGCCCACTGCAACCTCTTCTATGAGCTACTTTTGGTGTTTCTTTTTCCTGAGCTTTTTCCATGCCGAACATGAGTAGTTTAGCAGGAAGAATTGCAAAGAGAGTTTAGGTTGAGGGCAGATTCACACTATATGCACGTGTCCTGGCTAGGAGAGAGTTGATTTTTTTATTTTTGATATCATAGAATCATAGAATATCCTGAGTTGGAAGGCACCCACGAGGATCATCGAAATCCAGCTCCTAGTAGTAGCTGGTACAGTACTGTGTTCTGGATTTGGTATGAGAATAATGTTGATAAAACACTGATGTTTTGATTGTTACTAAGTAATGCTAAATAAGCCTAATAAGGAAGAAATACTTTAAAATGAGGGTGGTGAGGCCCTGACCCAGGTTGCCCAGAGAAGCTGTGGCTGCCCCATCCCTGGAAGTGTCCAAGGCCAAGCTGGACAGGGTTTGGAGCAACCTGATCTATGTCCTACTCATGACAGGGGGACTGGGCTGGATGACCTTGAAAGGTCTTTTCCTACACAACCATTGTATAATTCCATGAATCTCAGTTGTTTTAATCAGTTGTTTCAGAAATTCACTTTGCTTTTAATCTTAGCAGTTGGCTGAATGACATATTATGGTGAATATTTTATCTGTGCTTGTGTATGAATGGGCATGTTGATATGTTTTTGTGGAAATGTCAGTTCCAGAGTACAAAGGACAGCACTGGATTTTGTAGTGTTTTGCAGGATTTTGTAGCAAATGAATCACATGGTATGACCTCTGTAAAAAGAAGCACCCTGGGTTACTGTGGGTTAGGATCTTACCTACATTCACCTTTAATTGTGGGAATGGTGCTGCTGATCTCTATTTGCTGTATAGGAGCACCATCTAGTGGGCTTCTGGTTTTATTTTTTTATGTATAATATTTCTTTCCCCCCTCCCAAAATGCTCCTGTATAGTAAATTAGTACTGTATTAGCAATCAGAAATACTCTGTAATTTAACCATAGGTGATTGCTACCATTTCTTCCAGTGATAGAAAAAGCCAACAGACCAAGTGCTTCCTGTGCTTTCCTGTCTAATACATTTATCATGTTTGTAGCAGAACTGTAGCAAGTTTATTTGCAAAGGAGTTTTGGTAGTGAACTCTCATCCACACAAATTTGTTAGAGATAGTAAAAACACGGAAAGGAAATACACTTTAAAAACCTAAATATTATTCCTACAAAGAAATATGTTTCCTGTAGCAATAAAATTGTTCCATTATTATTGAAATTATTGCAAGTTTCTTATTTAATTGTAAATGGTAAAGTATGAATATCTGAAGTGTTAAATAAAAAAAAATATACTAGTTTTTTCAGGTTATGTAGCTCAGAAAGAACACTAAGTGAAATGTTTTAATTAGACTACACTTGCTGCTATTTTGATTATGTTTATTTAGCACCTCTGAGATGCCTCTATAACTTAGATATGTGAGAAATGAACAACACTAATATTTCAGAGAAAGAATATCTCCATTTACAGAATAACACAATATACTGATTTGGAAGGGAGGGACCCACAAGGATCATCGAGTCCAACCCTTAGTCCTGCACAGGACCATCCCCAAGAGTCACCCCTTCTGCCTCAGAACATTGCCCAAACACTTATTGAACTCTATCAGGCTTGGTGCTGTGACCACTTCCCTGGGGAGCCTTTTCCAGTACCCAATCAGCCTCTGGGGGAAGAAACTCTTTCTAATATCCAACCTAAACCTCCCTTGACACAACTTGAGGCCATTTCCTTGTGTCCTGTTACTGGTCACCACAGAGAAGAGATCAGTGCCTACCTCTCCTCCTCCCCTCATTAGGAACTTCTAGACTGCAGTGAAGTCTCCCCTCACCTCCTCTTCTCCAGGCTGAACAGACCAAGTGCCCTCGACCACTTCTCATAAGACTTCCTCTCAAGACTCTTAACCATCTCCATTACCCTTCTTTGGACACTCTCCAACAGCTTCATATCTTTCTTACATTGTGGTGCCCAAAATCGCCACAATATTCCAGGTGAGACCACCCCAGTGCAGAGCAGAGCGGGAAAATCCTCTCTCTTGCCTCACTGGCAAGGCTTTGCCTGATGTGCCCCAGGACAGGGTTGGCCCTCCTGGCTACCAGGGCATTGCTGACTCATATTCAGCTGTAAATTTGAGCTGATGTATTCAGCTGCGAGTGGGCACTTCCTGCAGAAGCTCCTGTTGTTTTCTGCTGAGAAGACCAAGAAGAAAAAGCTGTATGTAACTATTCATTCTAAATTCATTGTTTCCCTTTCCAACAATGGCCTTTGGCAGACACTGAGAGAAGTGTCCAGAAAAGAGGCCAACATGGTTGTTATTTCAAGAATCCTACCCCAAACATAGGCCATTTATGAGTTTCAAACCCAATCTCTGTCTTTGTGTGCAATAATCCTGCAAGTGTGTAGCAGAGCCCAGGTGTTCAGTGAGGTGGCACCAGATCCCTAATTACTACTTGTCTACTTGTCGGGGCAAACATGCTAGCTACATCTTAGCTACATCGAAATGAACTGCTGTTAAAATAGGGACTGTCTGTCAGGCCATAGGTCGAAGCTATGTCAGGGCCTTGGTGAAGGTTGTCAGGGCTTGGGTGAAGGTTGTCAGGGCTTAAGGTTGTCAGGGCCTGGGTGAAGCTTGTTGGGGCCTCGGTGAAGGTTTTCAGGGCCTGGGTGAAGGTTGTCAGGCCTGAAGTGAAGGTTGTCAGGGCCCGGGTGAAGGTTGTCAGGGCCTGGGTGAAGGTTTTCAGGGCCTGGGTGAAGGTTGTCAGGGCTTGGGTGAAGTTTCTCAGGGCCTGGGTGAAGGTTTTCAGGGCCTAGGGGAAGGTTGTCAGGGCTTAAGGTTGTCAGGGCCTGGGTGAAGGTTGTCAGGGCCTGGGTGAAGGTTTTCAGGGCCTGGGTGAAGGTTGTCAGGGCTTAAGGTTGCCAGGGCCTGGGTGAAGGTTGTCAGGGCCTAGGTGAAGGTTGTCAGGGCCTGGGTGAAGGTTGTCAGGGTTTTGGTAAAGGTTGTCAGGGCCTGGGTGAAGGTTGTCAGGGTTTTGGTAAAGGTTGTCAGGCCCTAAGGGAAGGTTGTCATGGCCTGGATGAAGGTTGTCAGGCTCTAGGGGAAGGTTGTCAGGGCCTGGGTGAAGGTTGTCAGG